ACACAAGTCTCGCACTCTAACTCATCTTCATGAGTGGTGCAGGTGCATGGTCATTCAATCAACTTCAGTTGAGTAGTTGAGTCTCCTCTTTACCTAAAATAATACTGCTATTATATTCAATCTGTGTATGAAGCATGAACTTAAAAGCTTCTCAAGAACCAGTTTAAATTTGTCGGTTTGGAGACTCAACATCACTTTGACAGATTAAATGTGTTTTTCTACCTCTAAAAGGTGGCAAATCAACACAATCGTTCCAATATCTCGTCTGTCCAGAGTTGCACTTTCACGTTTCTGAAGACTCTCACCCTCTGCAGTCGTCCACTATTTGCCAAGTTAAAAATACAGCGACTCGTCGTGTGTGGCTGCCGGCCCAGAAATAACTTTCTAGTTTGTATTTTGAAAACATGTCAGATTTATTGGCTGCTTAATCGTGCCCCTAACATAACACGACACGCACAATTTGGCCAGCCTAGCTTTGTGACTCTATGCCAATTAGCTCAGATCCTCTTTGCGCATTCCACTTCTGATTGAGTTTTCCCCGCCATTTTGAGATTCTTTGCTTTGATCTTGCAAAGTTTTATCACGACGTATAACTGCTTCGGAATATTTTCTTCAAAGCTACGTTGTGATCGGTCACGGCGGGTTGTAACAAAGGATACGTGGATTCCACAGTCGTATTTTTGTCTGTTTCATCTCCTATGAGTCGTATTCGTAAAACTAACCCCGTCGTGGTTGATAGATTTAGATTTGTTACAGTCTAGGTTTTTTCAGCCCTATAAATCACTGATAACTACAACTACAATAGGTAACGTAATCACTGATAATCAAATCATAGGTACGTCAACTCATTTATTACCAACTAGCTGAGTACCCCGTCCTTCGTACGGGATTGGTATACAATGCTTATTGTAGTTAAAAACTCATGCTTTGCATTTGCAATGAGAGAGGACACGTTTTGAGAAATTTAGTTGACTATAATCTACAGTATACTGTAGTACCTATATAGAACATCTACCATAGCCATAATGTTCTACCACTTCACCTAAACAATAGAAAGAAGTTAAGTTCTCACACTCAGGTCTTCGTTGCTGTTTGGTTCAAATTAGCTGTTGTCATAAATGCATAAAGAACTAATGGTGCTGCACCCTGTTGGTAAACCGTATAACCTTTTAATGCTATTGAATATCATAGAAACAAATTGTGTAGTTGAAACTGCTGGCAAAATTATTTAATTCCTTTTAAATATGAATACTCATAAGGTTAACATGGGAAACTCTAGACCCGCTGGGGTTGAGCCCGAAAGGATTTTTGAGGTAAGAATATGTCTATATGTTAATCAGGAATGTGAGCTGTCATCATACCAAATTTCAACACAATCCGACCAGTAGTTAATGCGTGATTGAACTTCAAACAAACAAACAAATAAACAAACAAACACACAAACTTTCACATTTATAATATTAGTATGATCATCAAAACAAATTCCTGACCACTGGATCACTCTGCAGTAGTGCAGTATTATCTTAGTATTATGTCTTCTCCTTTAATGCAAAGAATAAAGACTATACAAATAACTGGGGATGTTAAGGAATTTATATCAATAGCCCTACGGATTGTAGAATCACAACAACGTTGTTCAATCATTGTGTTTTATATTCATTTTATAAAAAAAAAAAACACCAAAAAAATCTTGCCAAATACATTATACTATCTGCTAATCAGAGAAATCTTAATAAATACTTCTTATGTAAAATGTCATATCATAAGTTAAAGTTTCTTTGTTTTTTCTCGACCACCCAGTCTTAAAAGTGGAGTACCACTCAGAATAAAGGGTCTTAAAATCATATTCCGAGGCATTTTCTAAATTTGGATTCACCTCGCTTGAAAAGTACATTACAGCCGTATTTTTATTACCGCTTCTCCTATTTATCATAAGCTTAGGGAGTAAAGGATTAAAATACCGCATCATAAAATTCCCAAATAATTAGAACACAAAAAATTGTATATAGAAAATATTTTACAACAAACACCTAAAAATATACAAATTTACAGTTCTTTATTACTTTTTATCAAACAACATCAACCAGACACAAGTGTATATATTGATGACAAATCGCCTACAATGGGGTGACGTCACAAAATATGACGTCATTACGACCACTCAGAACGTCTAATGGGTGCTTAGTTAATTTACAAGGGTCGAGCGGTTATTGGGAAGGGAGATTGGGAGAAATCACACCTTGGGAATTCTAAACGGATGTAGTTGAGATTGTTCTCTTGATATTAAACACACAGTTTTAATTTTAAGTTATGATTTAGGCCTATTAAATATTAAAATAAGTCTGTAAACATGGTTATCAACCTATCGATAAGCTAAGTATTAATTTAACAAAAAAGGGATGAGATGTGTGCATTTTACGAGTTATATGCCTTATTCTTATGTAGAGCTGTGCCTGTCAATAGGTTAATGTTTATTGATCAATTGATTATTTAATTAATTGTTGATCTTTACACGGTGAAGAAATATACATTTTTACTGATGTGAACTATGTTGTCAATATTAAAAAGGGGCACACTGTTTGAAATAAAATACTGTAGTTCTAAAATTGTTTAAAAAAATTTACAATATAAATAATCAAGGATGAGATCACGACAATGTTACCCTGTTTCTAAGAATTAAAAGTACAAACCTTAAAATTAAAGATTATGACGAATCTGAAAAGCTACCACAACGTGACATGTTTTCGCTGTTAATTTGAAATATAACACGGTTATCAGGGTCATTGTTCATGGATTCCAAGTTTTTTTTATCTCAAAGCGTCCCAGTACTTTTATACACTTGAGGTCTCTAGAATAGGAAGTTATTTTGACCATATTACGTGTGAATTACCCCTCCGAATTTCATTAAAGTCATCAATTAACTTATTACTTACAATTTATAGGGAGACAATGTATACAATTCTTATCTGATCGTACAAGAGTTTGTAAAAAACTGTATTTAACGTTTGCACCGTTTATCCATTTTTTCCCAAAGCCTATTTGATGGGTCTCTCCTAATCGCATATGTTCAAGGTAACAACAGCTATAGAAGGCAGGGATCAGGTAGGTCTACAGCCTGTTGAGCCGTGCTTCTGTGGGTAATGTTATGTAAGGGTTTGAAGAAATCGTTAATAACCTGTGTAAGCCGGCGTTTACGGCGAGTGGTCAGCTGGCCAGTGGCCGACAACTAGCTATTACACCGACCAAGCAGATCATTACGACTCACTGGGATATTTGTCTATTTTTACTCTGTAGAACGTTTTCAGGAAGTGTTATAGGCTTAGAATCAATACTTGATACTTAACACTATAATATTTTTCATTGAAATGGCGACCACACAAAGTAGGTATTTTAAGCCAAGTATGAATAGAGATGAGTGTAGGATGAGTGGCGCGATCTTTTAGTCTTGTTAGTGACTAAGTCTGACACAGCTGTTAATTAATAGCCCAAACAGCTAATGAGTGGAATCCGAACCAAATGTTTGCCTTGGTATTAAAGAATTGGTCTAATTATCTAGTACTGCTGATAGTCGTAGTGCTCACTAGTGAGGACGTTAATCCACACCGGGGAGTATCGCATCCACAGTGCATGTCTATAAATATCCACATTTCGTGACTTCCTAGTAGTTGGACGACACTAGTTAGCTGAGTATGTTAGCCTTTTCCCAAACTCATCGGTAAGGAAACAATTTTTAATACTAGTCGCTCATAGCTCACTTTGTATATAAGACAACTTTTGATAAGCGTACTAATCGATACTATGGTCAATTGTTGTAGGGGAAATTTTAAGTTTTATTCAGTAGCAATGCCTTTTTGGCATACTACTGTACCTAAGTGCTGTACCGTAGCGTTTGCTATTAAAATATTATAATTCGTTCTGCAAAAAGAGTCTTTACCTATCAACTATTAATTATAAATTGGAACGGGCACGCCACCTAGGTGCGTGTGTTACCCAAATATGAGTAAACAATTAGTGTAAAGTGGAGTGAGATGACCAGTGTGTTCTTATTGTAAACTCTGATTCAATCTTATTTGCGTAGAGTAACACCTTTGGTATTGTTATATTAATGGAACGATTAATTAATTATAGCAGTGTTATTAAAATAAATGGAATAGCATAGATCATTCCAATCTGATAAAACAATAATTGTTGTTCAATAATAATTTATTGAAATATGCGATCATTCCGCCTCGTACACGCTACCAGTAATGCAATACTTCAATGGACTGAATAACAATAAAGTCAGTGATTTGATTTAGAAAATTATGGTACATGTTACAATTGAGTCAATATTAGAGTATAGGTACATAAATTAAATATATCTTATTGGAAAAACGAACACAGTTTAAAATTAGATGCTCAAACTCTCTCCATTAATTAAACCATAGATTAAACTCATTAATCCATCATGCTCAATGATGCACTCGTTTGTGCTATTTGCTCCTTACCTCTTCGAGTTTACGTACACATACGTATGATAAAACCCACATAAATTGCAAACTGTTCACTACCAATCAACCTGCAAAGCGGGCGCATCAAAGCCAAATTACATCCCGTAACTTGAAAACCATTCGTCATTTTTTATAATAATAAAATACAATTTGTCATGCGGGTGACGTAAGGGATTACGGTTGGATTAAACCCGCCGTCGCCAAAGCCAATTTACCATTATGGACAAAGTTCCCTCCGAAATGAGGAATTTGCGCTTTTATTGCCTTATTAGTCGCTTAATATGGGCAAGAGTCGTCAGAGAAGAAAAGCGAGGCATAATTCTACGCCAATTTAATGCCTGCTTGCCTCGGGCCATAAATTTTGTCCGCAGTTTACAAGAACTACCCCCACTTCCTCGACTGGTGCTGCTCTAGCGGCGGCGGTGCGAACTACACAGACACACCGCCCTCCGCAGACCTCCTCTCCTGAGTCTGAGTGCCCTCCAGTCACACCACAGATACGAGATTCAGTCTCACCCCGACGCTCGTGGCGGCAGGTTGTCCTCGGATCGTCCTGTTTGCGAACGCGTGTACCCTTAAAACGATATCTTATTGTCATTTGGAACCTACAAGTTTTAAAATGATCGCTGCGTATACATGACCGATGCGTTTCATGTAGTATGTTGTGTGTGAATTTTGCGCTAATTTCGTAGTCGTATCAGTTTGGTGCTTGATTGATAAGATGATGAGTCTGTGGACCTTATCTTCTGTCTTCTACTTGGTCAACTTGCTAGTGGCTGCCGAAGAGGAAGTTGGATCTCCTCTGAGGGTAGCCCAGTGCAGAGCGAAGTGTGTCTATACGGTAAGTGTATTGGTTTTACCATTATGATATTGTATATAGTAGTTGATATAAATTGCGGGTGAATCCAACAGACCATGTATATTTAAGTATAAATATTTAAATAAGTAAAAATACATTTGAAATATGTTTTCAAAAACTATTAGGTTTAATTAAAACGCACACGATTCATAAGCATATTATCAATAACAGGTGGAACTAATAGTGATAAACATACAAAGTTAATTGTACGATACTTTTACAATTAACTTTAAACAATTCCATTAAAATTGATGTTCATGCAAAACGATTGAAGTATGAAATGAAATGGAGATTATGATATAACTGAAAGCAAGGACAAACCCAAAGTGTGATATCTATTTTGACATTTACTAGAGAATTCCACATTAATTACATGTTTTAACCGAAGGAAACAAACGTCAAGCTATAAGGCCCCGGCCACACGAGGCGAATTTAAGCCGCGCGGCTTATCTTCGCGCGAAGTTAAGCCGCGCGAAGTACCTGGCCACACGGGGCGGATGAACCGCTTCCTGTTGGGTTTTCCCAGTATCAGTACCCTATTTAAACATTGTTCAGTTCACTCTTTTAGTCGTGGACGAAACATTATGTTAGTTTGTGCATTAGAAGCGTGTGGTGATATTGAACCAAATGTTAACAGAAATCATTGGGTCCATCCCTTCCAAACGGAAAAACCATTTGTGTTTACGAGCACATGCGAAACCATAGTTCGGAGTTATTTTGGTTATTACCGTATGTATGTGTTTAGTGTTACTGCATCGTTCGACAAGTTACTTGAATTGCGCTAACCACATATAGCTAAAGAAGATACACTCATGAGAAGTTCAATTAGTGCTGAGGAACGTCTGACAATAACATCAAACATTTTTTGAACACTACACAACCGGTAACAAACTAAAAAAGCACTGGAAGTGTCCGAAGAATATCTCCAATAAGCGCGGCTGCCGCGCGGTCGAACCGTATCGTGTGGCCACTCTCATAAGACTACGTGTGTCATCCCCCCCAACGCGGCTTAACTTCGCGCGGTCGGGGGACGACATGGCGCGGCTCAACCGCACATGCGGCTAAACTTCGCCTCGTGTGGCCACTCTCATTTGATTCAATGTGTTGTCGAGCCCCTTAACTTCGCGCGGCTTAACTTCGCGCGGTTAAACCGCCTCGTGTGGCCGGGGCCTAAGAAATACAGAGGTAAAACGATCAATATATTTATCACGAATCTACAAAGAATAACATTAGGCCTAAATTAGTGTTTGAAAAGCAATTAAGACTTCACGTTTAATATTAACAAATTATTGAGGGAAAGCAGATAAAATTTATATTATATCTAATAGCCCTACAAAATCTTACTTGATATAAGCCTAACTATTATTAAATAATTTAAGTACGCAATATTTGAAAATATCTGGTAATTAATAATACAAATAATAACTACCCACTATTCAATTTCTCAGCAATTTGAATGAACATTGTATACCCATAGATCAATACCGGCAACGGTAAGGTCAAATGGAAAAAGAGTCAATTTATACAGCATAACATAATGTGATAATAAATACAATATCTGATAAGGTTTTGAAACCACCAGTTGACAAAAATATGCAGTGGTTGGATATTTCCTTGGATATAAACCGGTAATTTTATATTTTGCATTTTACACACTCCATGAAATGAATAATTTAATTGCCCCAACAAAAACTGTCACAATAGGGTTACAATATAATTCCTACAACGGGAAAACACGAACAAGTCACGAGTAGTAAAGCATCAAAGTTGAGCTGGGAAGTTGCAATGTCACGTGTTGCGAGCTGCAATAAAACGAGTCTCAAATAAATTTGCTACAACCTCGCCTTTTATGGAACCATTAAAATACAAGCTCCAGACGCACGGTACGTCATAATTTAGCCGTTTCATCTGCACAAGGGATGATCTCGTGTTTATACAGGTAATAAATTATTTGTCACTTTTATGAACGCTCGTTTACTTTTCGAGATGTAAAATTTATATGAATCCCTATGTATAAAGGTATAGGAGAAACGTTAGAAATCGTTTCAGTATTTTCTTCTTGCAGTGTTTGAATAGAAGTGGTAACGATACTGTAACTGTTTGTATTGTTAAACATTGATTTTGTGTAAGTTTGTGTAACTTAAAGATTTTAGTGATCACTTTATTCGAAGCTTAAACTACTGTAATTGGATTTATATCAGTTTTACTGCATAATGTGTAACATATAGAATCACTAACCAAACTATAATGTGGAAATTAAATGTTATGGACGAATGCTGTAATTATAATATTGACTACTTTTAAAATTAAATCATTAGGTAACCAAGTCAATTTTCTTTACTGAAATAAACCTTAACCGTCCTGTTCTACTGGAATCAATATCCAGTTAATCGAACGGTGCACCCTGAAAAAAAAAACACTTAAAATTAAACTGGAAAACGATTTGAAAAAAAAAAAACATATTTACCAAATTCTACTCAACAAGATGATATGGAACAACTATATTTAAAGGATACAGTTAAGTGTAAGCTACTAGAGGTCAATACTGCATCCCCTACGATAATTACCACAGAATATAATTTTCTTAAAAACTACGTTTTTATTAGGCTATTAAAAACCTCCGCTTGACATTATTTTTATTTTCCATCCCTGGGGTAGTTTCGACCCACTCTCCGGGGGTCCCCTCCCTTGTCGCCGATACTCCAGATAACGCCTCCCCATCACCAGGGACTCCTACCTGGGCCCTGGGTCACCATGACGGATGGCTTCCGGGTGTGGACAGTCCCCGGTGTCGGCATACTGATAACAACAGGGACAGATCCTGGCCTGTGATAACGCAGGGGTTCGGATTATTTATGGGAATTTGTGACGTAGTAGTGAAAACATCGCCGAAATTGCTTTTTTGGTTTTGTAGTTGGATCCTAAAACGATCAATAGTTACCGTTTATATTATTGAAAGATTTTATATCGATTACGTGAAACATGGTTTGGGGATTCATTGATTAGCTTAATCGTTGAGTCGTTATCATTACTCAATATCATAATGACAAATCAATGTTATGGAAACTTCGATAACGAGACGTCTCTAACTACTGTAGTGGTATGGTGGGAGAGGGGGAATGGCTAGGAGAGAGGTTCCCCTCTAATGATCCGATTAAGTATGATTAATCGAAAACAATATGAAACAAATATAATAAAGTGTTCTATATAGTTATTGAAAAAATAATTAGTAAATATTTGCTAACTAGAACACTTAAGTACTGTTTTGCACAGATGCTATAAAATTTATCATCGATTTGTGTATAGTTGAGGATGGATGAACTTGTACATGGTTTTAAAATTTCACTCCGGTACTCAACGTTGAATAAAAACTTATTTAATAGAGAAAATAGCACAAAAATGGGAAAACATTTCCATAAAACTAGACATTTGAGACGTTTACATGTAACAATAACATTTTCATTTTACAGTATATTTTATATACAATTACAATTGAAATTCCGTTACTACTTTTCGTAACGGGAATTAACTACTGTAGTCTCAATCGTTAGAAAAACGTAACCTTAATTGATTTCAAAACGCATGAGATAACGTAACCAATAATGTATTTTTAAAGTCAAATTAAAATATGCAAAACAGCGCCTGCAGCTTGGAACGCATCCCGCCACACAGGGTCCCTCATTTGCATGCTGATGGGGTCCGGAGACTCGTCATGGAACCTTTCCTTACCCCAACTATCGGGGAGTTTAACAATCTATCAAGCTCCAAAAACAAGCACTTCTCTGTTTGAATAGCTTCCCGTGATGTCTTTGTTCAATTTCAACCCCTTTTGTTACAGTCGGATCGAATCATATCAAACTAGGATTAAAACTATTTAGGGCGTAAAGGGGATGCGAGGGCTTTTGAAAATGTTTGGATACAATCTTCGTTATTATTATAAGTTTAAAGTTGTTGTTTTATAGTTTATAAACAGTTTTTAGTTTGGTGACAATTCTTTTGTAAATTGCGTGGATACATAAATACAAATAACATTTCATCAACACTAACCCATAAAAAAATGCTATTATTCGTAAACGGTGAGTAGTATATTTACAAATTAACTTGGTCTGAAGTAACGAAACAATTGTCTAATTTAAATATCTCATAAATCAGGATGTTCGAGTACCGGTAACGAAAATTATCTCGTTAAAAAGGGGTTGAACCATTTAAATCATGATTTATTTGAGTTTTATTTAATATTATTGAGGGAAAAAGTAAAATTTTTGTATAAACAGATTTTTTGGTATATTAGTTTAAGTTAATTTAAAGGCTTCTTCTTCAGGAAGCAATCATAACATTAAATTTTGAGTATGATTACTTTTGATTTATATTACAATAAAATCAAATCAGCCTTTTGATAATTAATGATTGGATTCAACTGGAGTACACTGTATTTGCACTAATGGCAATTGCACGCCGGGTAATAATCAAATGGCAATCCTGATGCGGTATTCATGTTGCCTAGCGTAGAGTTCAGGCGCTACTTGTGACAAAAAACAATTTGACTCAAGTTCAACTCGATACTGTTTGAGAAATGTGGAGATTCTTAGCAAAATCGGAACGACTATTTTGGAAAATAGTAGGCTACATTAGATAATGTGAAAATATTAAAAGTTTGATAACATTGTACACTCACTATTGTTGAATTACCTGAGAGTGTGTACGTTCACTATTAGTATTATAGGTATTATTTACCGAAAACGGGAAGGAAATGTTGATTTAATTTTAAAAATAACAAAAAATATTTTTACCCGATTATTAGAGTAAAATAAATTAGGGTAGGCCTACCGGTATTCTGTTAAATAATGTGTTAAGTTATGAAGAATACTTTGACCTACGAATGAAAATCTTATTTTTAAAATCTTCCATCGTTTTATAATTTCTACATGTATACGAAAAGTAGTTGAGTAGTACTGTATATTAATTTGTTTGTCAGTAAACTT